CATATTCTTTCTCTTTTGCCATCAATGCCCTATATCCAACCAAGAGGGAACCAAGCTCCAGAAGTTGCAGGGAATATAAGCTGGTCTTATTAACTCCTAGGACTCAGCCTGAGTAAGAGCAGTTATGGCAGAGCCAATGTGAAGGATGCTGGCTTGGGTATCATAAGTACAAATGATTACTATTATAATTAGTTACTTTTTATTTAGCTTTTATTATTTAGCCACAGGCCCTGAACTAGAATAGATTTCTACCATTCCTATAGATTACTGGTTCACATGCAGGTAGAGAAAATAGACCAAAACCGCTTAGTGAAATTTCTCTAATTATGGATTTCCAGGTATGAACGTCTGTCACTCATTAATTCAATAAACATGTATTGAGTGGTTACAGTGCGTCAGGCACTGCTTGAGGGCTAGGGATATAGAAGTAAAGAAGACCCTTAATTTCATGGAGCTTACACTATAGTAGAGGGATGACACAGTCAATCAATAAACAAAATAATGTCAGGGAGTGATAAATGTTTTAAAGAAAACTAAATCATGGTAAAAGAGTATTGTAAGATTCTGTCCCGTGAAGCTATTTTAGATAAGGTTCTGCCAGGTGCAGTGGCTCACGCCTGTAATCCCAGCACTTTGGGAGGCCGAGGTGGGTAGATCACTTGAGGTCAGGAGTTTGAGATCAGCCTGGCCAATATGGTGAAACCCCGTCTCTTAAAAAAAAAAAAAAAAAAATAGATAAGGTTCTGTGGGACACCTCTTTGAGAAAGTAATACCTGAGAAGAAACCTAAAAGTGAGTTTTGCCACATGGTCAAAATAGGCTTTCCTGGTCGGGCGCAGTGGCTCATGCCTGTTATCCCAGCACTTTTGGAGGCCGAGGCAGGTGGATCACGAGGTCAAGAGATCGAGACCATCCTGGTCAACACGGTGAAACCCCGTCTCTACTAAAAATACAAAAAAATTAGCTGGGCATGGTAGCGCATGCCTCTAATTCCAGCTACTCAGGAGGCCGAGGCAGGAGAATGGCCTGAACCCAGGAGGCGGAGGTTGCGGTGAGTCGAGATCGTGTCATTGCACTCCAGCCTGGGTAACAAGAGCGAAACTCCATCTCAAAAAAAGGGCCTTCCTTTGCAGGGCAAAGGAAAAGGAGAAATGAGCCTGGTGAGTTCAAGTAACAGAAAGGTGACCAGTGTGGCTAAAGAGGACTAAGTGCACAAGGGCACCAGTAGCAAGACACATGGGCAGAGATGTTCATAGAAACCAGACCATGGAGGGTCCTGAGGCCTTGGTAAGAAGTTTGGATTTTTTTCCAAATATTTCAAGAAGTATCCACAGGCTTCTGAAGCAAGGAAATGCCATGATCTGATTAGGTTTTCAAAAGATCAATCTGGCTTCTGTTTTCTACACTGATAACAGGTACCTGAGCTCCTCTTGCCTCAGTCCCAGGTGATTCCCAGGAGTGGGAGGACAAGAGCGGAGGCAGGGGCACCTGTTAGAAAGCTATTGACATAGACCTGCTTCAAGAGGACACTGGCTTAGATCAGGATGCTAGCAGTGCAAGGGGCTGAAAGACGGCTGGAGTCGGGATACGTCAAAGTAGAGCTAAGAAAACATGCTAATGAATTAACAGTGTGGTATGACGGCAAGATCAGGACAAAAGATGACAGTACTTTGTTTGCCCTGAGCAACTGCATAATGGTGGTGCCCCTTACTGAGACGGGAAAAACATGGAGAAGGCTTGGGGAAAGGGAGAGGGTAGGGATCAAGATCTCTGTGTAGGATAAGGAATGAGCATGTACATTTGGAAAAAGCTCCCCAGGTGATCTGGATACACTACCTACATCCTTCCCTACACCATCTAGTTGAGAATCAACCAGCTCCTAGAACACTAAGACCCTCTCACAGGGGTTCATTCTCAGTAAGCTGAGAACAGATTACTCAACTTCTACACAAAAAGAAGGCAGAATCTTTACCTAGAGAGATGACAGTCTCATAGTTTTCCTGCATTACATCATTGTAGAGGGCGTTCTAAGTGTAATCCAGTAACTCTCATTCTTCCTGGGAAAAATATATGGCCACGTCTTCAAAATTCAAGAAGCTCTAAAGAAGAGGATGGACTTCAGCTCTGAACTTGGCACTGCAGAAGCAGCCTAACTGGCTATGAAGTACATGGTAAGCCAGCCACTAAAGGAATTAAGAGAACATGATTTAAAAAAACAAAGAGGAGAAGGCAGAAAAAAAGGAGCCAAGGGATCAGCAAACAGCCTGGGAAGAACCCAGTTTGCTCTGGGCCAAGCCTACTGTCCAGGGTAGAACCTCTGAGGCTAACATGCCTCAGGGCACATGCTGGGCAGTGTGGGTCTTAGGCAGCAGGGAAAGGCAGATAAGATTATGCTCAGGAAGCCCTACAGTGCTGGAAAGCACAGCTCACCTGGGACTGAGGCAAGAGGAGCTCATGTACCACTGTTCAGTCTTTAGTGTTTGTCTGCTCAGAAAAGACTAAAATCTGTTGAGCAGGCACAGCTGTGGGTGGAAAAGAGCCAGAGGACATTTCTTTCTATCTATGAACATCCTTAGGTCATTTCCAAAATATCGAAGATCTGGATTTTTTCTGGAAAGATAGCACACCTTAAAAGTGTATACGGTTACCAAAAGTGGCCTTCTCTTTGTAAATTAGAACCAAGTGTCTACCAGCCCCTAGAACTGGTTCCCCAGATGGTTAACTTCAGTTTTCATAAGTAAAGTTACTAAAAGGATATATATGTGTTTTTTTTCCCCCGGCATGATATAAATTGTTCTTGAGTTTAGCAAAACACACAAGTACTCCATTTGAAATGAAAATGAAGTATTCAAGGACCCCAGTGTGCCAAATAAAACAGCAGAGTAAAAATGAACTGGACAAATTCAAGTAACAGTAAGGAGACCAGCTAAGTGGATGGGGAGGACTGGGCAAGGGCCTGAGGAGCAGATGAGGGCAGGCAGGTGAACAGGAACCAGACTGTGGAGTGTCCTGGAGTCCTGGTAAGATGAAACCTTTTTTTTCCCCCTGAATGTAAGTGACCACAGGCTTTTGGAGTGAGGAAATGTCATGATTAGGCTTTTAAAAGATCAGTCTAGCTTCTGTGTAGCAAACAGACTGTGGGAGGGCACGAGGAGATGCAGGGGCACCTGTTAGAAAGCTACTAATGTAGGCCTGGTTCAAGTTGACACTGGCTTACACCAGGATGCTAACAATGCGAAAAGCTGAGACACGGCTGGAGTCAGGACTTGTCAAAGTGGAGCCAAGAAAACACGCTAATGAGTTAACAGTGGGGTATGATAGCAGCATGAGGGTAAAGGATGACTGCTACTTTGTTTGCCTTGAGCAACTGGATAATGCTTGTACCCCTTACTGAGATAAGGAAGACATGAAGAGAAAGTTTGGAAGACATGAAGAGAAAGTTGGGTGGATGAGAGAGTGAAGGGATTAAGAACCTCATACAGGATAAGCAATCAGGATGTGCATTTGGAAAAAGCTCCCCAGGTGATCTGCATACACACACCTACACCCTCCCCTATACCATCTAGTCGAGAATCAACCAGCTCCTGGAACAGTGAGACCTCCCTCACTGGGATTCATTCTCAGCAAGCCAAGAATACTCAACTACATAAAGGGAAGGGAAATCTTTACCTAGAGAGATGACAGTCTCATAGTTTTCCTGCATTACATCATTGTAGAGGGCCTTCTGAGTGGGATCCAGTAACTCCCATTCTTCCTGGGAAAAATACATGGCCACTTCTTCAAATGTCAACAAGCTCTAAAGAAGAGAATGGACTTCAGCTCAGAACCTGTCACTGTGCAGAAGCAGCCCAACCACCTGGCTATGAACTGCATGGTAGGCCAGCCGCTAAAGGAATTAATTAAGTAAGAAGGCAGAAAAAAAAGGAGCCCACAGTCTGGGATTTTTGCCCAGAGAACACCCGGGACTGACACACCTCTGAGCTCCTCCTGGGCAGCATGAATTGTGCATAGCAGAGAAAGGTAGCCCTAAACAGCTGGAAAGCACAGCTCACCTGGGACTCAGGCAAGACGTGCTCAGGTGCCACTGTCCAATCTTTGGTGTTTGTCTGCTCAGGAAAGGTTAGAATCTGTTGAGTAGGCACAGCTGTGAGGGGGAAGAGCCAGAGGAAATCTCTTTTATCTATGAACATCCCAAGCTCATTTCTAAAATACCGATCCTGACTTTTTAAGTACAAATGGGACACGTGTGGTGTGTGTGACGCCTGCGGCAGCCTCTTCATAAATAAGAACGAATTATCTACCAGACCCTAGAACCAATTCCCCAGTTAACGGTTTCCTCAGTTTTTATGACAGAAATAAAAGGAAAAACCCTTTTTTCTCTCATATTTTTCTGAGGCAAAAATTAAAGGTATCTTAATGAAGTACTCAGGGACTCCAGTGTACTCTAGGAGATGAAGTGTGTTTTCCTTTTATTGTTTTTCCTGGTACATGTTGTTTTCACATTCTGCCACTAACAGCCCATCTGATCCCAATTCCTTCCGTATGAGGATAAGGTGGCCCCCAAGCCTTCCCAGTACATTTCTTTCCTTCCTGTCCACTTTTCTAGGGAATACCTAGAGCTCCGTGGTTTAGACACTTCTGTTCCCTAGGCCGCCCCACTTGCACCCACAGCTGGCATTTCTAGTTCTCGATGTTATTACCCAGAGTTCCGTGGTTTAGACACCTCTGTTCCCTAGGTTGCCCCACTTGCACCCACAGCTGGCATTTCTAGTTCTCAATGTTATTACTCAGAGCTCTGTGGTTTAGACACTTCTGTTCCCTAGGCCGCCCCACTTGCACCCACAGCTGGCATTTCTACTGCTGTCTGGAAGGGCACCACAGTTGCTATCAAGGCCAGTTTATAAATCCAGAGCAAGGTATTCACAAATGACCATGACATTTTGGCTGAATAAACAATTATCACAGCTCCCAGGAGAGGGAAATTATCATGAAGCTCCTTACCCATCTCATACACAGGCTCAGTCTCTTTATGAGTATTCCTCCTCAGCTGTTCTTGCAGACCCTGGTATGTTTTCCAAAATTCTTCATCTTGGGATACGCCCACTGGTTGGGACTCTTCCGGCTTCAGCCTGAAACTTGAGGCCTCTGCCGTTTCTCCCAAGAGCACTGCCTCCTTTCCCAGCTGAGTGACTGCAACCTGGAAATAATTCCCATCCTTGTTACTACATAAGTTACTTTTGGTTTGTGGGGGTGGAGGCAGAGCAACAGGTATAGAGCCCACATTGTGGGAAGTATAAGACACAAAAGGAAATGACAAAAAGGCTTAAAAAGATACTGAGCCAAGAATGTTCCACAAGTAACTATCCACAAATCTGAGAAAATTAGGGTAAAAGGAAACAAGCTGTGGTGCCTGCCAGCCCTGAAACAGAGCTGCTTCTACTCCACTGTATACGGTCCAGGTCAGGCTACTGGTAGGGTTGGGCAGGCCACTCATTCTAATGATGCCTTGTCAGGCCTTTTCTCTTGACTTCAACCCACAGTTGTGGTTTTCTAACTTCTAGTTTTCTCTAAAAATTAAAGAAATGAGGCCGGGCGCGGTGGCTCATGCCTATAATCCCAGCACTTTGGGAAGCCGAGGCAGGTGGATCACAAGGTCAAGAGATCGAGACCATCCTGGTCAACAAGGTGAAACCCCGTCTCTACTAAGAATACAAAAATTATCTGGGCATGGTGGTGCACGCCTGTAGTCCCAGCTACTAGGGAGGCTGAGGCAGGAGAATTGCTTGAACCCAGAAGGCAGAGGTTGCGGTGAGCCGGGATCGTGCCATTGCATTCCAGGCTGGGTAACAACAGCAAAACTCTGTCTCAAAAAAAAAAAAAGAAATTAATTTAAAACTTTTCCTTTCAGCCTGATTATCCCTAGAGCCAGGGAAGGTTTTCAGAGAATGGGGACAAAATGGAGAAAAGGGGCAAGAAAGAGGCTCCAACCTACCTCCAAATGATTTTGACACCAAACATAGGTCCTGCCCTGTGTTCTTCCCAGCAAACCTGAGGTCAGCAGATGTGTCACCACCAACCAAGGGCATACCCTGGCCCCCTACTTGTCAGCAGAGCCAAGGAACAACCATTAAAGGAAGGTAGTAGAGGCTTTCATCTACTGTAGGGAGGTCATCACCCCATAGTGCATTTCTTCTCCTTGGCCATTCTGTTGGGATTTCTTTTTCCAAATTTGTTTCCCTTTTTCCTATTTTTTCTTTTCTTTTGCAGTCTTCCCCTAGTTGTTTGATGATTTTTTTTTTTTTTTTTTGAGACAGGGTCTTGTTCTGTCATCCAGGCTGGGATAGAGTGGTGCAATCATGGCCCCCTGCAGTCTCAACCTCTCTAGGGTCAGGTAATCCTCCCACCTCAGCCTCCCAAGTAGATAAGACGACAGGCACACGCCACCACGCCAGGCTAATTTTTGTATTTTTTGTAGAGACAGAACTTCACCATGTTGCCCAGGCTGGATTTTTACTAATTTTTAAAAACATGTTTTTTTGAGACTGCGTCTTACTCTGTTGTCCAGGCTGGAGTGCAGTGGCACGATCTCAGCTCACTGTAACTTCCGCCTTCTGGGTTCAAGTGATTCTCCTGCCTCAGCCTCTTAAGTAGCTGGAATTACAGGTACACAGCACCACACTTGGATAATTTTTGTATTTTTAGTAGATACAGCGTTTCACCATGTTTGTCAGGCTGGTCTTGAACTCCTGATCACATGATCCACCCACCTCGGCCTCCCAAAGTGCTGGGATTACAGGCGTGAGCCACCACGCCCGGCCTAAAACATTTTTTTTTTAAGGGACACGATCTCACTCTGTTGCCCAGGCCAGAGTACAATGTTGCAATCATAAGTCACTGCAGCCTCAAAATTCTGCGCTCAAGCAATCCTCTCACCTCAGCCTCCTGGGAAGCTGGGACAAATGAGCCACCATACCTGGCTTATTTTTTTTTCATAGCGACGAGGTCACACTATGTTGCCCAGGCTTGTCTCAAACTCCTGGGCTCAAGTGATCCTTCTACCTCAACCCCCAAACTCTTCGAAATACAGGTGTTAGCCACTGACCCTGGCCAATTGCTCCTTGTCTTTTAAATGTCATTGTTTTCCTGTTCTCCTTCTTTTTTGTGGGGGGAGACAGGGTCTTACTCTGTCACCCAACCTGGAGTGCAGTGGTGCTGTCTCAGCTCACTGCAACCTTGACCTCTTGGGCTCAGGTGATTTTCCTGCCTCAGCCTCCCAAGTAACTGGGACCACAGGTGTGTGCCACCATGCCTGGCTAATTTTCACATTTTTTGTAGAGATGAGGTTTCATCATGTTGCCCAGGCTGGTCTCAAACTTCTGTACCTCAGGGGATCTGCCTGCCTCAGCCTCTCAAAGTGCTGGAATTACAAATGTGAGCCACTGTACCCAGCACCCCCTTATTTTTTTGAGACAGAGCCTCACTCTGTCACCCAGACTAGAGTACAATGGTATGATCTTGATCTTGGATCACTGCAACCTCCGCCTCCCAGGTTCAAGTGATTCTCCCTCCTCAGCCTCCAGAATAGCTGGGATTACAGGCACCAGTCATCATGCCTGGCTAATTTATTTATTTTTGTAGAGATGGGGTTTCACCATGTTGTCCAACCTGGTCTGGAATTCCTGACCTCAGGTGATCCACCCATCTCAGCCTCCCGAAGTGCTGGGCTTACTAGTATGAGCCACTGTACCTGGCCTCCCTCTTTATTGTCTTTTATTCTATTTCTAAATACTCAAGTCCTGTCTCTTTGGCCAAGCCAGATTAGGCCCATGACCCTCAATTCACCCTGGCTCCAAACAGGGCAAAAAGCAACTCTTCTTTCTCTAAGGCCAGGGAAGTCTCTGCCACAATCTATGAAACCTGGGGAGTGACTTTTCTGTAAGCCTGTAGTTTCAGGTCCCACCTTAACTGTCCTAAAAAAATCAGTGACCTAATTCATGTAATTTCTCAACTAGCTGCCACCATCCCTACTATATCCACCTTCATCCTATTGCACTGTACATGACAGGACTCTTTCTTCTCACCCCATTCCACGTTTGACCAGATTCCCTCTGCAAGTGTTCTACCAGAGCCACAGCCTCCTCAATCCTCTGTGGATGGTGCTTCTGTATCCGAGTCTGTGTCTCCCTGGGCAGAATAGTCAGGAACTGCTCTAGCACCACCAGTTCCAGTATCTGCTCTTTTGAGTGGATCTCTGGCCTCAGCCATAGATGACATAATTCTTGAAGTTTGCTGACAGCCTCATGGGGTCCAGCTGCTTCATCATAGGTGAAGTTCCGGAAGTGCCAGCAAGAGCTCTTAGGATCAAGACTGTCCATTTGACGAGACGTACTCTGATGGAAGTTCCCTCTTGCAGGCCCCTTGGTCTCCCACAGAGCCCTGATCTGAGGGTCCAAGTATGCAGCCACTTTCAGATCTACCTTCATCATTCTGCTCTAGGAAGTTCTGTTCCTGTGTTAAGACACCTGACTGGTACCACCTTTGACAAATGAGATCCCGTCTAGTCTCGTACAAAAGCAGTAAAAGGATCTTCTTCCTAAAAGCACTGAGGACGGGGGAAAAAAAGTACATATCAATAAGAAAGTCACGTGAACCTCATCACTTGCTGCTTATGAGAGAAAAATGAACAGCAAAGGTGTCCTGCTTTCCCTTCAAAATAAATTAGCAGGCCCTTTTCTTCTCCTTTTCTACTATTCAGCTGAAGCACAGCACAAAAAAGACAAATGCTAGTGGACGACTATCATTTTTATTGAAAAAAAAAAAAAAATTTTAAGAAAGGTTGGTGGGTGAGAAAATTGGCACCCACTGGCAGAAAGGTGTTTTGGGATTTTCCAAGGATTTAACTGGTGTGCCTCCTATCCCATTTTCCCCATAAGGAAAGAATAGGAGAAAATGAGGCTAGGAGAACATTCTTAGATTCTGTTAAATTTCAACAGATCACCTCAGTCTATCTCTAGTAACAGGAGTACAACTTTTATGACCCTTCAACCTTTTGTGAAGATGGAAGCCTTCAATTTACAAACACTTTAAGCCAGGTGAAGTGGCTCACGCCTGTATTCCCAGCATTTTCGGAGGCCAAGGTGGAGGATCACTTGAGCCCAGGAGTTTCGGACCAGCCTGAGCAACATAGCAAGACCCTGTCTCTATAAAAGACAAAAAGAAACAAACAAACAAAACCAGGATGGTAGAGCACATCAGTAGTCCTAGTTCAGGAGGCTGAAGTGGGAGAATCGCTTGAACCCAGGAGTTCAAGGGTGCAGTTAGCCACTATCTCATCACTGCACTCCAGCCTGGGTGTCAGAGCAAGACTTTAATGCAAAAACTAAAAATAAAGGCACCTTCAAAAACATTTCAGATTTTCCATTGTAGGAATTCAGACAAAAGAGCTGAGACAGTGAGACCAAAATACAGTAGTACCCTCTATCCAAGGGGGGGTTTCAGTACATTTCGTGAATGCCTAAAACCACTGACAGCACCTGACTGCACTATACTGTTTTCCTACGTATACGGAGCTATGATGAAGTTTAATTTATAAATTAGGTACAGTAAGAGATTAACAATAATTAAACGCTGTAATAAGAGTTATTTAAAACTGGCCAGGCGTGGTGGCTCATACCTGTAATCCCGGCACTTTGGGAGGTTGAGGTGGGTGGATCACCTGAGGTCAGGAGTTCAAGAACAGCCTGGTCAACAAGGTGAAACCTATTTTCTACTAAAAATACAAAAATTAGCGAGGTGTGGTGGTGTGGGCCTGTAGTCCCAGCTATTCAGGAGGCTGAGGCAGGAGAATCGCTTGAACCCTGGAGGCAGATGTTGTGGTGAGCTGAGATCGCACCATGGCTGGCACTCCAGCCTGGGCAGCAAAGCGAGGCTCCATCTCAAATTAAAAAAAAAAAGTTATTAAAACTTCTGAACTGTTTATTTCTGGAGTTTTCCATCTAGTACTTTTGAACAGCAGACAGAGGGTAACTGAAACCCAGATCAAGTGGGGGGTGAGGGGGCAGACTACACAAGGAAGGTAAAAAAACTGCCTATTTTCATACACCGTCTCCCAAGTAAACGAGATGCTCAGCATTCTTCTTTGCAAGACACATAAAGATGAGATGATTTACACGAATTTTTAAGCGTGCTTAATCGATCTGAAGAAAATTACAAAATATCAAGTTGTAAAAAAGGATATGGGGTTTACAAAATATCAAGTAGTTAAATACCCACTACATTTATGTTTTGTTGCTATTCGTTTACAAAATATTAACTCAAATGGGAGCTGTTAGCGATGCAAGTGAAACCTGCTGCTGACTTTAATATTTCTCCAAAGGTCATCTGGACGTCCAAACTGGGCTGAGGTGAGCCAGCAAAAACGGCACCGAAGGGCCAGGCGCGGTGGCTCACGCCTATAATCCCAGCACTTTGGGAGGCCCAGGCGGGTGGATCACGAGGTCAAGAGATCGAGACCATCCTGGTCAACATGGTGGAACCCCGTCTCTACTAACAATACAAAAAATTAGCTGGGCATCGTGGCGCGTGCCTGTAATCCCAGCACTTTGGGAGGCTGAGGTGGGTGGATCACGAGGTCAAGAGATCGAGACCATCGTGGTCAACATGATGGAACCCCGTCTCTACTAAAAATACAAAAATTAGCTGGGCATGGTGGCGCGTGCCTGTAGTCCCAGCTACTCGGGAGGCTGAGGCAGGAGAATTGCCTGAACCCGGGAGGCGGAGGTTGCGGTGAGCCGAGATCGCGCCATTGCACTCCAGCCTGGGTAACAAGAGCAAAACTCCATCTCAAAAAAAAAAAAAAAAAAAAAAAGAAAAAAGAAACGGCACCGAAACCCTGCCCGGGATGCCACCGATACTCAAAGTGGCCAGTTCCTTGCTGCCCACCCCGGCTCCGGAAGCACGGAGACACTTCCTGTTTCCGCAGCAGCAGCAGCCCCGAGGCTCGGCCAACCGCACAACATCCGCCCGACAAGGAACAGCCGGCCGAGGCGGGAAAGGGTCTTCGGCAGCACCTGCCCACCCGCACGCGGATTCGCCACAGCCCATGTCCGCGACAGGCGTGCCCGTGGGCACTGGGCAAGCGGGCAGCGTCCCCGCGGGCTTCGGCCGCGCCTCTGGGCTGTGGCTGCGAAAAACGGGGAGAAAGCTTCCCGAGCCCGACGGTAGCCCCGCCTGCAGCTCCAGTCCCGCGGCCCGTAAGCGCCGCGGCCGCCGTTAACGGAAAAAACGTTGCCTCCCTACAGCCGCCGGCGTTTCAGGGGCTCCAGGGCTGAAGCCGTAAGGGGAAGCCGCTTCGCGGTTACCTCATGCAGCTCGGCTTCTGCGGAGGCCGCTCCTCGCTTTCTGAGGCTCAAACACAAGCCGCCACCCGGAAGTCCGCCGATTTGAATAGCGCAACCGCCGGCGCCCCGCTGCCCTGTCCAGGTGCGGAGGCCGAGTGCCGGCCGGAAACGGAAGTGACTCTTTCTGAGGGTGCACGCAGACCCGCCCCCCTGGCCGAGGCGTCTGAGCCCGACCTACTTCCTCTCCGGAGAAGCTGTCGCCAGCCCCGGAGGCGGGGAAGGGTTAATGCCACCAAGGCTGCAGACCCGCCAAAGCCTAGAGAGGGCCTTGTACCGGCTCGCCAGGTGGTTGTCGCCGTCTCGCGTCCCCGATCGGGGAAGCTGTCGCGCGGACACGTCTGTTGTGCGTGGCTGTTGGGCGGTGTCTGGTCCCGGGAGCCTCGCCGGGTAAGGGTCGCCGCCCAGCTGCGCGCGCCGCGCCCTTGGCCTTCCCGTGGCCCTCCCGGCGATTCTCCAGCTGTGGCTGCGCTCGTCGCAGCCCCTTCGAGGACGAGGCGTTTTGTCCCGGTGGGGCCACTCGCTAGGTCAGAAGCAGAGGCCCCCGAGGGTTTTGTACCGTTTTCTAGGTCTCGTGACGCATTCCTCGCAGCTCTTTTTTAGGTAGGTTTGAACCTGTGAAATAGCTTTTTTCTCTCTCCTGGACAGAGAAACGGAGATCTAAAAAGTGACTTGCTGAGGGTCACAGACCTCAGCAGTGGCGGCTGCTAACTGGAAATAAATAGCTCTCCTGGTGTACCTTCTGCCTTTTCCACTCCAGTATTCCTCCCTGGAAAATGACAACCTTGTTTTCTTTTTTTGAGACGGAGTTTCGCTCTTGTTACCCAGGCTGGAGTGCAATGGCGCGATCTCGGCTCACCGCAACCTCCGCCTCCTGGGTTCAGGCAATTCTCCCGCCTCAGCCTCCTGAGTAGCTGGGATCACAGGCAGGCACCACCGTGCCCAGCTAATTTTTTGTATTTTTAGTAGAGACGGGGTTTCACCATGTTGACCAGGATGGTCTCGATATCTTGACCTCGTGATCCACCCGCCTCGGCCTCCCAAAGTGCTGGGATTACAGGCGTGAGCCACCGCGCCCGGCCCGAGAACCTTGTTTTCATCTTGTATCTCAGGCAACGCCTGACATAGTCACCTGGGTAAGACAGGCATTCCACACATGCTTACTGAATCATAGCTGTAAGAGTCTGAGTGTTCCGGGTGTCCGGTGATCTCTGAATTGTCCGTTTTTGTAATTGTCAGTCTCTACGTGCCGAGGGATTATTTAGTAAGTCCGATATGAGTGATTTCCGAATTAGCAGTTTTTGTAATGTCAGCCTATACCAGACAAGGGAATGTGTATTAAGTGTATGTGTAGCCAGTGTTACAACGTTGCGTAAGACGTCTTTGTCTTTAAGCAACCTATTGAAAGGACTGGGGCCGTTTCATGAATATCAATAGCACAATGTAAGAATAGGACATAAAGTGCATGCTCTGAGAACTCCAAGAAAATCAAAGTTGATTTGGGGTTGGGGAAAATTATAAAAGACCTTGAGGGATTTTGTCCACAGCAGGGAAAGGAGGCATATTCCAGGCAGAGGGAAGGGTAAGAGTAAAGACTGTAAAAGCTGGCAACATTAGAGTGTGAGATCTTTAGTATGTCTTTACTGAGTTGGGCTGCATTTACAGGAAGAGTTTTAAAGGGTAGGAAATGAGTTTATGTGTAACTTACACTGCAGTCCTTTGAATGGGAATGAAAAGACTGCCTTTAAGAAAGTAAATCCTGGAGCAGCATAGGAGGGTTTTTGACTGAGCGTCTTTCTAGGGCAGTTCATCTAAGCTAAGTTTCAGGTGAGAAGGAAGATGAGAGGCCATTATCAGGCCATTGTGCTATTTTTGCTTTTGGTTGGAATGCTGTGCAACTCCTCTTGGGCATAGATCTTGATCCTTTTTAAATGAGAGAGAGAAACCGATTTAATAATGAGCATCTGCCTAAGTCACTTGAATATGTGTCCAAGTAGGTTCCTTTCCTTATAATCTCAGCCAGATTGGGACTTTATTTATTTAGAAGTATTGTTCTTAGGCTTTCAGAACCAGCGGACAGTAACGCCCTCAGCATTGAGATTCTCATCACCTCGCCCAATGCTGAATATATCATTAGAATTTATTAAGTCGAATAAGTGAAGTTCTGCTAGCGCTGCAAAGCAGTGCCCTTGGATATCATTGGCAGGCCTGATTCATAATATAGGGGGTTGGTTAAAACAAGAAGAAAGTGGAAAAGGGATTCATGGGAAGAAGAAGAGGGAGCAAGGCACAAATTGTGAAAGGCGAATAAGGGCCACTAATGATTTTCATTGTGGAAAGTTTGCTGCCATAGTGGCTTATCCTTCCCTGGGAGCCCACAAATGTTACTTTAGCCTTTCCTTTTGGTTTCATCCTCCCCAGCTTGGGCACTGTTTTGGAAATGATGACTGTGGCTGGGTGCAGTGGCTCACACCTATAATCCCAGCACTTTGGGAAGCCTAGGCAGGTGGATCACTTGAGGTCAGGAGTTTGAGACCAGCCTGGCCAACATGGCGAAACCATGTCTCTACTAAAAATACAAAAATTGGCCGGGCGCGGTGGCTCAAGCCTGTAATCTCAGCACTTTGGGAGGCCGAGGCGGGTGGATCACGAGGTCAAGAGATCAAGACCATCCTGGTCAACATGGTGAAACCCCGTCTCTACTAAAAATACAAAAAATTAGCTGGGCATGGTGGCGCGTGACTGTAATTCCAGCTGCTCAGGAGGCTGAGGCAGGAGAATTGCCTGAACCCGGGAGGCGGAGGTTGCGGTGAGCCGAGATTGTGCCATTGCATTCCGGCCTGGGTAACAAGAGCGAAACTCCGTCTCAAAAAAAAAAAAAAAAATACAAAAATTAGCCGGCCATGGTGGTGCATGCCTAGAATCCCAGCTACTCAGGAGGCTGAGGCACAAGAATCACTTGAATCCTGGAAGCAGAGGTTGCAGTGAGATTGTGCTACTGCACTCCAGCCTGGGTGACAGAGCAAGAACCCGTCTCAAAGGAAAAAAAGTACACAACTGAGAAGCATTGGAAGCAAATACGTAATTCTGAGACACCCACACAACTGTCATAGTGGACTGGATATTTTTGCTAGATGACTGGCTGAAGTTAATGGTACTACTATTGGCTAGCAGATATTTTTATTTTTCCATTTACAAGTGAGAGAGAGATAAACAGATTTTTCTCTGAGTTACCACTTACTAATTGCCTTAATTATAGCTGCCTCGTTTAGAAAGTTGCTTGATCTTAGCCTGTCATTGGCTCCACACTCTAATTGCTACCATATTCTCTAATAATCTTCTCTGTGCTCCATAACCCATAGTTGTCATTTCTTGCAATAAGTGTTAGAGGAAAGCCAGTGGCCTTACTCTTCTAGATTCTTAGATGAGAGACTTAAAGAGAATCTTGGCCAGGCGCTGGTGGCTCACACTTGTAAACCCAGCACTCTGGGAGGCTGAGGCGGGTCAATCACAAGGTCAGGAGATCGAGACCATCCTGGCCAACATGGTGAAACCCCGTCTCTACTAAAAATACAGAAAAATTAGCCCAGTGTGTTGATGGTGCACCTGTAGTTGCAACTACTCGGGATGCTGAGGCAGGAGAATCGCTTGAACCCAGGAGGTGGAGGTTGCAGTGGGCTGAGATCATGCCGCTTCACTCCAGGCTGGCAACAGAACGAGACTCTGTCTCAAAAAAAGAAAAAAAAAAGAATTCTATGTAGTTGGGGAATGAATAGTCAGATTCTACCCTAAAGAAGAGGAAGAATAACTGAAATACCCAGTCATTTCCCTTATTTCTCTGACATTCTTTTCTTTCTTCATAGCACCTGGAATGGATAAAAGTGGCAGTTTTTATTTCTTCCCATGAGGTTCTGTATCTGGAATGAGAACCAGGAAATTAATCTAGACTAGGACATTTCTAAGGACCTGGAATGGCTTTGGGCGGCACCAGGAGGACCTGAAAAGAGTATTTGAGGGCACAGAGGGACAGAAGAGTTGGCCAGCAGAAGGATTTATAAGAAACAATTGATCAGAAACAGTAGCAGATTTTAGATTTCTTCTGTGGAAAAGTTGATTCTTCGTTCAAATTAAGTAAAACACTGAAGAGAAATCAAAGTCTCACATACGAAAAGTATGTTACTTATAACGTAAATTTAGGAAAACAAATGAAAGGACTGATCTTTAAAGTTTTTAAACTGGTGAAATATTTATAAAACTTTTGGGCTCATCTCTAAAAATTGCTGTGATTCTGAAACTTGATAATATCTCAAATATAGAACAGTTGCAGTGAAAAGTAGCACTTGAGAATACATCAGATATTCCCAAGAAAGAAGATCTGAGGATGGAAAAGTGCCACTAACAAATACATATTTACATGCTTATAAATTACCTTGGCAAACACAAGAGACACTCCAGTTAAAGCACAGTGTTTAACACTCCTATACTGAATGCACTGAAAGTTGGCTTTTATTCATACGTACAACAGAAACTACCTTCTTCACTGCAAGATTTTGTATAACTGTTCCTAAATTCCAGCTCTCCATACATCCCAATGTCAGGGTCCTTGTAGCTTGGAGCCCTTCTCCAGGTAGATGAACTGCTGCCCAGTGAACACTATGTACAAAGCACTATGAGCACCATTCTCTTTTCTGGCAGTGAGGTCAAATCAGCTCTTTTTGGAAGGGAAGAAGCCACATGGCATCTCTGCTACACAAGATTACGCTGTCATTGCCTTTGCGTCTTTCACACTCCTTTCTTCTCAAGCATCATTTTGTCACTGAAACTTATCCTACCTGCATCCTTTCTTGTGAGCACATCTTGCTCAATCCCTCCTCTCTCCATGTTGTCCCTTTTCCTGTATTGAGTTAGGAAAGGTATGCAGGTATTCCTGTCATTCCTGACCAGGGGAGCTACATCTGTCAAAAGAGAGTAGGAGCAGTAGGCATTCTGAGAAATGATCACTCATGGCCTGCAGGAGCAAGAGCCAGACAGGACTTTGGCACTGGAAGCTTTCTGAGTATGTAAGACCTCTACCTCTAGACTAGCTCTTCAATCACGGTTATCTCCTTCAGTCCATTATCCTCCAAGACAATGCCCATGCCTTCTGGGGCTTTGAGCTAAGTTTTGTTTTTTAAAAAGTGGGTGGTTTTTTTTTGCCAATTCAGTAAGGCTTTTCCCTTTGTTTTCTCCTGTTGGTTGTTCCAAGTTAAATTCAGTATGAATAAGAGAGGGAAATATACAACACTGAATTTGGAGGAGAAAATGAAGGTTCTAAGTCGAATTGAAGCTGGACGATCACTTAAAAGTGTAATGGATGAATTTGGAATCAGTAAGTCAACATTTTATGACATTAAAAAAAATAAGAAATTAATTCTGGACTTTGTACTGAAGCAGGATATGCCATTAGTAGGGGCTGAGAAGAGAAAGAGGACAACTGGAGCCAAATATGGTGATGTAGATGATGCGGTCTACATGTGGTACCAGCAGAAACGCTCAGCTGGTGTTCCCGTGAGAGGTGTGGAGCTTCAGGCTGCTGCAGAGAGATTCGCACAGTGTTTTGGGCGAACAGATTTCAAAGCTAGCACTGGTTGGCTTTTTAGATTTCGAAATCGGCATGCAATTGGGAACCGAAAAGTTTGTGGGGAACAAGTCCTAAGTTCAGCTTCTGAAAATGTTGAGCCATTTCGACAGAAACTGTCCATGATCATTAAAGAGGAGAAACTGTGTCTAGCTCAGCTATACAGTGGGGATGAAACTGACCTCTTTTGGAAGTCCATGCCAGAAAATTCTCAAGCAAGTAGGAAAGATATCTGCCTACCAGGGAAGAAAATAAACAAAGAAAGGTTGTCTGCCCTTTTGTGTGCAAATGCAGATGGAACTCATAAATTAAAGTCAATCATTATTGGAAAAGCAAAACTGCCCAAAAGTGTGAAAGAGGACACAAGTACTTTGCCTGTGATATATAAACCCAGTAGAGATGTTTGGTTCACCAGAGAATTGTTTTCAGAATGGTTTTTTCAGAACTTTGTTCCTGAGGTCCGGCATTTTCAACTTAATGTTCTAAGATTTCATGAAGAGGATGTCAGGGCATTGTTAATTTTGGACAGTTCCCCAGCTCATCCTTCCTCTGAATCACTAACCAGTGAGGATGGTCGAATAAAATGTGTGTTCTTTCCCCATAACACTTCAACCTTGATTCAACCAATGAATCAAGGTGTGATCCTGAGCTGCAAACGACTGTATAGATGGAAGCAACTTGAAGAGAGTCTTGTAATATTTGAAGAAAGTGATGATGAGCAAGAGAAAAGAGATAAAGGAGTTTCCAAAATTAAAATCTACAATATAAAAAGTGCAATTTTTAACTGGGCAAAAAGTTGGGATGAAGTAAAACAAATAACCATAGCAAATGCATGGGAAAATCTTCTCTATAAAAAGGAACCTGAATGTGATTTTCAAGGCTTAGAAGATGGGGATTATAGAGAAATTCTTGAAAAATGTGGGGAGTTGGAAACTAAGCTAGATGATGATAGGGCGTGGTTAAATGGAGATGAAGAAAAGGGTTGTCTCCTAAAAACCAATGGTGGAATTATAAAGGAAGTTACTCAGAAAGGAGGAGACGCTGAGAAGCAGACTGCTGCATTTAAGCTATCTGCTGTAAGAGAGAGTCTGGACTACCTTCTTGACTTTGTTGATGCCACACCTGAGTTTCAGAGATTCCATTTCACACTGAAAGAGATGCAACAAGAAATAGTCAAGAAACAGTTTCAGAGTAAAATCCATTCTAGAATTGGTAGCTTTTTGAAACCTAGGCCTCATAATAGTAAGGACTCCTTCAGTGGACCTTCAACTTCTGCTTCTAATCATTAGATTTTGTTTAACGATTTCTGGGATTATATGATACGGGCCTGCTGTGAATTGTCATGTTTTAGCAACTGACATTATTTTGTATATCAATGCCCATTTATATAAAGGTTATAAAATTTATAGTTTGAAAATAATCCATTTGTGTTTCTTTATTATTTAAATAAATTTGTGTTTCATACATTTATTTTTTAAAATTTTACACAAGGATCTAAATAATGGTGTATTGTCCCAGATGGTATCTAAGGTGGCATGCCTTTGAGAAAAGCATTAGTTTGTAACCATAGCATATAACAAAGAAACTGCTGACGAGTTCTAGTTAGATTTAACATAACGTTAGATTAGGTTTCCAATTTAATGGTAAGACACGCTTTCTTACTTCTGTTACCACCTATTTAGTGTTTTCGTCTTACCGTGCATTATAGGGGATACGGAAGATAAAAACCACTCAATTCTATTGACTAGTGATATCCTCTCAACCTTTTGGTGTAGACCATACATTTTTTTTTTTTTCATTTCATTCATTCATTCATTTATTTTGTATGTGCTATATGCCAGGCACTATAAGTACAATGTAGGCCCTGTCACCTCATGGCACTGACAGTCTGGTGAGGGAAGACAGACATTAAACATGCAGAGAAGGCCGGGCATGGTAACTGACAGACACCTGTAGTCCCAGCACTCTGCAAGGCTGAGTCCAGCAAATTGCTTGAGTCCAGGAGTTCGAGACCAGCCTGGACAACATAGTGAGACCTCATCTTCAGGGCTTCCTGGAGCTTGCATAATCTACTTTCCAAAATGCAAAACTGTTGTTTTAGACTGTAAAGTTCTCGGTGGCAGATACGAGATGGAAAGATGGTGTCTTTCAATACTTCTAAACTCTGGGTTATGCAGTTCTGACACAAGCTGTATATAGACCATACTCTATTTGTCCAAGATTTTATTGCACCTCTGATGTTAGGAAATTTGAAGTTCCAGGATGATCTTAGCCAGCTTCTGATTTGAGATACATCTGTTGAAGAAATAATGACTCTTTCTGGTGAGGGTGGTGGAGGAGGTGTAATTAGCTTGGACTGAACGTGAGAGGCTTCTTTTTTTTTCAATAATCTTTTGGCTTTGGCTTTGGCTTTTAGCTTTCTTCTTCGTTGTTTGAACTTGGGCATGGTTTTAGTCTAAGAGCCGGGGGAGTCGATGGAGTCCGGGTTGTAGCCTCTCCCACGCCATAAAGAAAAATTCAAAATTAAATACTTGTCAGGGAGGGACCAATCGTAGACACGGTTTCGTAGACCATACATTTTTTAAACAGGCAGATTACATTTCTATAAAACCTTATCTCATTGTCTTAATGTATTTTATGGTTTGGTATTAATATGTTAGCATTTGTTGAATATATAGGATTGTATGTGTGTGTTAGTCTTCATAATAACACCTTCCCTTTTTTTTTTTTTGAGATGAAGTTTCGCTCTGTCAGCCAGGCTGGAGTGCAGTGGTGAGATCGTGGCTCAGTGCAACCTCCGCCTCCCAGGTTCAAGCAATTCTCCTGCCTCAACCTCCTGAGTAGCTGGGACTACAGGTGTACACCACCATGCCCAGCTAATTTTTGTATTATTAGTAGAGATGGGTTTCTCCATGTTGGCCAGGATGGTCTCAATCTCCTGACCTCATGATCCACCCACCTCGGCCTCCCAAAGTGCTTGGATTACAGGCATCAGCACCAGGCCCAGCCTAATGCTCTTTTCAAATATATAAGGAAACACATTTAGAGAGGTTACATAACTTTATAAAGGTCACATAAATTAGTAAATAGCAAAGATGAGACTTAAATTGTATTTAATGCCAAAGCTCAGACTTTTAATCATGCTGCACTATTTCTGAGCATTTCCCTCATGTCATTAAAATCTCTTCACAGACCTCACATTTAATGTTTTTTTAATATTCCACCAGGAGGTGTAACATATCAGTTGAACTACCTGGTTAAAGAGAATGAACTTTTGAAAAACTTTGATACACACTGTTAAATTGCTTTCACATTCCTGCCATTAGTTTGAAAGTACTTCCCCCCGTGCACAAATCCCAGCATTGAATGTTGTTATGCTCAGTTTTGCTAATTTTGTAACCGAAAGGGTGGTGTCTTTATCACTATTCCTATTTAGCATGGTACGAGGTGTCACGTGAGCATTTAAGTTGGTATTTGCAAATAAGCCTTGTTTGGGTAATTAGTTCTTACTGGCTTTTAATGTTTCCTTTCTCATGTATTACCTTCAAGAATATGTTTCTGAGGTGCAGATTCTGTTGCACTGGTCAATACTAGTCAATTTATAGTATAAAATTATTGACTAAATGTAGTACTACTGGTGTCTACTCTTGCTCTGGCACCTTGCCATTTTCATTACTGGTTAATGTGAGTTGTAATAAAAAACATGCCCACTTTCCATGTTCATAAATATACAAGCTATTCTTACTATTCTGAGTAACTTCAGCATAAAATTTATTCAGGCCTTCTCCAGACACCAGCTCCCTCTGGGGATTTATTCATAATTTAAATAAAATTAACTTGGGAAGAATTCACATTCCTTTTTTCTCCATTCAAATTGTAAGTGCAGTTTTCTTTTAATGGAGTTCTCATATTTTTTAATTGTTGTTCCTAGGTAGGTTTGTTGTTGCTTTAAGTGGGAACCTTTTTTATTAGTAGTTATAGCTGGTATTTTCACCTTGTATATTCAGTTTTTTTTTTTTAATGTCTTAATTTTATTACCCAGAGCTTGTAGAAAAAAACGTATCAGCATTGCCACTGGGCAACCTTTTTTACAGCCAGTTTAGGCTTGATTTGTGCTTTCTTGGTTTATTCAGTCTGCAGCCTGTGGAAGATGGGAGAGCTTTAACATCAAACAGCTTGAGTTAAGATTAGTCCAGAATGACTGCAAGCTGGGGGTGGGTTAGGGCAAGGGTAGTAATTATTCTTTGCTTGATGTTTTGCCTCTTTTCAAAGACCTTCCAAGCCTGGGACAGGATGGATTGTGGAAGTGGAGGAGAACTGCAATGAGGACTCTGGGCAGCTCTAGTTCCTTTTAGTTTGCGGCTTTGCATCAAACATCATTCTTTTTAGTGGCGATAAATTCCTAGAGTGATCGAGAGTCAGCCCAATTTTCAAAAGTACTCATTGATTCTGGAAACTTCCTGTTAAGTGTTTCATGTACTAGACAATAAGCATGTTGTTGGAGATAAGGAAGAAAATGAATGAGAACAAGCCAACATGGGATGTGTGAGGGCAGGAGCCAAAGTGAGCATAGCAAGGGCTTTTGAGAGCTCTTAGCAGGGGAGGTGTCTGAGGGGACAGTGTGTGACTTTTTTTTTTGAGACAGAGTTTCGCTCTTGTTACCCAGGCTGGAGTGCAATGGCGCGATCTCGGCTCACCGCAACCTCCGCCTCCTGGGTTCAGGCAATTCTGCCTCAGCCTCCCGAGTAGCTGGGATTACAGGCACATGCCACCATACCCAGCTAATTTTTTGTATTTTTAGTAGAGACGGGGTTTCACCATGTTGACCAGGATGGTCTCGATCTCTTGACCTCGTGATCCACCCGCCGTGGCCTCCCAAAGTGCTGGGATTACAGGCGTGAGCCACCGCGCCCGGCAAAAAAAATATTTTAAATAAATAAATGCATTTTGCTTGAATTTATCTAGCTATTCTTGAGCTCCTGACCACCAAAGTCTCCCAGTGCTAAGAAATTTGCTAGTTGGTTTTCCTGTAACACACATTAAGACACTTTGTATGACTTAGTTGTTTCAAATGCTTGTGAAATATTTACAAAAAATTACAAGCCTTAAAGCAGTGGTGATTTTGCACATTCCAAAATTGTATCAGTTAATAATGTAATGAGTCTACAATAAATTCTTTAAAAAGTGCTGTTTTCTATATAATCATATGGGTATTGTAGTGGGAGCTGTACTGACACATTTGGTGATGATTTATATAATCCTTCCATATAACCATATAGTAGTTTGTAGTAGGAGGAATGCCTAGAGCAGTCACAGAACAGAAGCAGTACATGGGAAAACAGCCAGACCAGGGCAAGAACCAAAGACCCAGGTGGTTGCATCCCTATCTGAAAGGGCACACGTTATATGGCAGGCTTGGAGCAGGAGCCTCTCCTCATGATAAAGGAGTTGTAGTACCTCACATCCAGCACCTGTGGAAAGTAGGCCTGAGGCCTGAGATCCTGGAAATAACCGAGGGAGAACCCCTGTGCTGTGACCAGTCACAGCGGCTGTACACCCTGTCAGTCTTTTCTTGCTTCTGTGCTAGCTCAAATCATCCTCCCATAACTATCTTAAGAGAAGAGCACAAGTCTGTGAGCTCCCACTGCATTGGCTTACAGTATCCTTTTAAGTCTCCAGCCCCTAGATAAGAAGTGTTGTGCACGACGCCTATTGCCCACAGCCCACCTCCTTGCCTCGGTGACCTAATGGGGGTAGACCTCTTTTCTGTACACAACCCTCTACTACTGTGCACGGCACGGCCCCCTACTGCACACAGCCCACCTCTCTACCCAGTTGACATAATGGGGGTGGCCCCCTCCCTTGTGACTCACCTGATTATATATGCCCTATTACTAAGCCTATAGATCATGACCCCACTTACGACCCTGCCCCCTGCTTGTACCGAATAAATACAGATGCTTCTGGGCATGTGGGGCTCTCGCTGATCTCCGCTCACAGATGGCATGGCCCCCGGAGTCCAGCTGCTCTTCACCAGTTCTTCAGTGTCCGGTCTCTTTATTTCTCGGATCCTGCACCTCAGCACGGCATAAGGGACACCCCACAACCCTGTGGGGCCTTACAGCCCTACATAGTCTCCCTTTGACATAAAAGTCATTCAAATTGTTTTGGCTTCTTTTACAAGAGGCCTAGTTGGCCAAGTATTAATAATGTAAAAAAGTATGTATGCACTAATCTCTTGCAGTGACCTAGTTCTCACTCCAATATAAAGATGCAGAGACTGGGTAATTTATAAACAAAAGAGGTTTAATTGACTCACAGTTCTGTATGGCTGGGGAGGCCTCAAGAAATTTATAATCAAGGCGGAAGGCAAAGGGGAAGCAGGTACCTTCTTCGCAAGAGAATGAGCAAGCACACAAG